AAATTAAATCGAAGTTACAGTCTACTTGATTATAAAAGGAGAAAAGGATAATGCTACTCACCAAGTAGTGAAATTATTGGAAAAACATGGCAATCTTTCTCCCAAGCACACTTCTAAGAGGGAAACCTAAACATTTATCCTTCAACATCACATTGTCTTCATATTCATTAAAAAAAAAACAATCGTAGTCCTTTCTAGCTTCATCAAGTCATATTCGTAACCGGTAATCCATGATTTCACTATCCTTACAAAGATTCTGGAGATGTTCAAAGAGATGACATCTGCTGAGACTCTCCTATAATCACTGACAAATTTACCTCAGATAAACTTGATGATAGTAACAAAATCATACAAAGAATAATGTCTCCTTAATCAATATAACTAAGAACTACACAGGTAATAATGTAATTCTGCTCGCTACTAGTTTCAACAACTTAATACCTAAACTTCATGACCAATAATGCTGGTGTACTGTGCTCACAATACCGACCTTAAAGGATCTGATGAAAGATCCTCACCAAAGCCTAGGACACATGTGTAGCCAAAATTCGTTGTACATTTCCTCATTTTGCATACCACTCCCCAAGTAACAGGTGCATGTTTCACTACTCACCCCATTTTGATAAGAAACTGCTACAACGTTGATGATTGTGATGTATCCATTTATGCAACCAAAGGATATTATACTACATACTAAGGTTTTTAGAGAAAAGACAATATTTAGCTACAGTTCATCTCCAAATAACTTATAGAATGACCAAAACTAACCTACGCAATTCTGTCGCAATAGTGTGAAAAAAAACAAAAACATGTCTAGGCATTTGGTTTAAAATATAGTGAGTGCTAAAAAAATACACAATGTGCCTAAACACTTAGGAGAAAAGTATAGCAAGTATTCACAAAATATAGCAACTTATAGTGTATACAAAACTATTGAAATATAAAATCAATTTAAAAAAATGATTTGGTTGAGTAATTTGCGTCAAAAAGTGATTTTGGATGTGAGTAGGTTTAAGAATCTGGTGTAAAATTTCGTGTTTAAAGGCAAAAACCTATTTTTGGTGGGTGACCTTAAAATAAATCGGTAAAAGTTTTAGGTATATAGGCTAGAAACTCATCGATGTTGTGACATAAGTGTCAGAAAAGGTAAACAAATGATTTAAGCATTTGGTTCAAAAGTACACTGTATACCAAACAACTTAGACCAAAAATATAGAATGTTACACCAAAATACAATGACCTACACCGTGTACCAAACTGCTAAAGTATAAAGTACATTTTAAATTAATGCGCATGAGTATTTTATGTCTAAGAGTAAGTCGGTGGGTTTAAAAATAAATGGAGGTAAAACTTTGGGCTTATAGGCAAAGAGCCCATTTTGAAAGTTGGTCAATTTTAAAAATAAACAAGGTAAAATTTTCGGTTTATATGCAAAAGACGCATCTACTATTTGCATTGCCAGGACATTGGTGCAAAAAAAGCAAAACAAAGCAATGGTTTAAGTATTTGATTTAAAATACACAATGCATGTAACCACTTAGAACATAATTTAGCAAGTTACAACCAAATATCGCAACTTACACTGTAGTAAATTGCAAGAATAGAAGTAAATTTAAAAATAATTCAATGGAGTATTTTTATTCTAAATTTCTAAGAATGATTTTGTAAGGGGTATGTTCAAAACTAAAGCCGAGTCTAAAATAATTCAGTAGAGTATTTTTATTCTAAGAATGATTTTGTAAGGGGTATGTTCAAAACTAAATCCGAGTAAAACTTTGGGTTGATACTTGGTAGGAAGTGTGTGGATTTAAAAATAAAAAGATGTAAAACTTTTGGATTATATGCAAGAAATCCATCTACAATTTGCGATAATGAGATATTAGTGTATAAAAAGACAAAAAATAATGGTTTAAATTTTTGGTTTAAAAATACATCATATATTTAACAACTTAGATTAGAAATATAGCAACATAAAGCATAATATAACAATTAACAACTTACACCGTATGATAAATAACTGAATACAAAGTGGGTAGTAAAATAATTCGTTAGAGTATTAGGGTTTTAAAGTGATGGTGGAACTGATTGGAGATAAAACTTCGGGTTCATAGGGAAAAACCCCTTTTTCGGAAGTGGGTGCATTTAACAATAAAAAAGGATAAGACTTTTATAAGGGGAAAAACATATCTTTAGACATTAGTTGCAACTTACACCATATATGAAACTACTAAAATACAAAGAATGATTCAAATAATTCATCAAAGTATATTGGGCCTAAGAGTGATTTTGGATGTGGGTGGGTTTTTAAAATAAATAGGAGCAAAACTTCAGGTTTATAAGAAAAACAATATGCAATATCATACATTATTATATTATTACATTATATTATTATGTTGGCAGAGCATTTTAGGGCATTTTGGAAGTTAAGGGATTAAAACAAGTTTGTTTACAACTTGGGGTCTATAAGAAAAAGCATGTTATTTATATCTATTTTTAAATATATAATTAATACATTGGGATGCACCATAGTGTGAACCAAACTTTTAAATATTGGTTATCAAAAATATACCGGATGGCTAAAATTCATATGGAATTGTGGTTATCAAGGATAAGTAGTAAAGATCAGAGTGTCATATCGGATAATGACATACATAATATAACGTCCTAAAATATAACCTTTTAACACTTAATGAAATATAAACATACCAAAATACCTTTGAGAGAGAACTTATTGAGCGATAGAGTATAGGGAGAAAGAGAAGGAGCGAAGAGAAATAAGGGATGGCTACTCTAAAGGTGATGCAAACCAGTGAGTGGGATTAGTGGTTTTGATTTTATTTAGAGGGTATCAGGTTTGGGTCCGAAAAATAAGGGTTTTAGGACCCAAAACCCAACAAATAGTTGGAATTTTTTCCAAAATCGGCCTATTTAGACCTTAATAAAAAGAGGTCGATATCGCATTTTCACCAATATATTGGAGGAAAACGGTGAAAAAGGATAACCTATTTAATTTTTCAAAAATTGTATCGGCAACGGTCCAAACCCTATATTAGTGATATATCAATAAAATTAGGTGATTTTTAAAACATTGGTGTGAACAATCTCAAGCTATAGATAAATAATGTTAGAGAATATGCAAAGACGGTGTGTGACCCAGTGGTAATTGTTGTTGCTACAAATGTTATCAATCCCTAGCTTGAATCATGGATAACTCCTCACTTTTCCTTATTTTTTATCATTTTTTTATAAACACAAATGTTTACTCGTTTATTAAACCTATCCACAACCCTAAAAAGATTTTTTGCTAATAAACCCAAATTTTTAATCTATCCATTTTTAAACCTAATTTCAATATAACATGTAGACCTAAAATGTTCTCTTGAATTATTTTTAAGCCTTTTTGTATTTCAACACTTTGGATCTAGTGTAAATTACTATATGTTTATGTATCTTGCTATATATTTTTAAGCGGTTTAGTATACAATGTAAGTAAATGCCTAAACCATTATCTTTTTTCCTTCTTTACAATGATAACGCAGTATCGCAAACCGTATTAGTTTTCTGCCTATAAACCCAAAGTTTTACTCCTATTTATTTTTAAAACCACTTGCTTTGAAAAGGAGTTTTTTTGTTAAATTCAAAGGCTTACCACTGTTTATTAGTAAACTTACCCACTTGCAAAATCATACTTAGACCCAAAATACTTGATTGCATTAATTTTAGATCCACTTTATATGTCACCAATTTAGTATATGGTGTAAATTGCAATATGCTTTAACGTAATATATTTTTGTTCATTGCGGTTAGGTATATAGTGTATTTTTAAACCAAATACTCGAAACCATTATTTTTCTTTTTTAATGCTAATGTCGTAGCATCGCAAACTGTAGATGGTTATTTTTCCTATAAACCCAAAGTTATACCCCATATATTTTTAAACCCACCCACTTTAATAAAGGGTTTTTTTTCCTTATAAACCAATAGTTTCACCTAACTACCTAAGGTGCAAAAGAATATCCATATTAGGAAATGTATTTGCAGTTTAGATATGATTACTAAAAATTAAAATCCGATAGGACATGGTTATGTATACAAATATAATGAAATATTCATATCCGTATTTGAAATTATCTGAACATATATTGGTCATACAATTGCAATTGTTTTATATTATATTAATTGATTTGAGTTAACGTTGATGATCAAGTGATCTAATCTTCGTTTTTCAGATATAACAAACATATTAATGAGGTCACTTGTATAATACGAACTATAATTTTTTAAATATTATATGGTGTTCTCATATCCATTTTGTATCTGCATGTATATGTGCATATATATTTGCACATATCTATATCCATATTTTTATTTGATTTTGGAGGATATGGATATGGATTTTCCTTACCAAAGCATATCCGTATACATAATTGGTAAGTGGTTATAGATATGATAAGCATCATATTCATATCCAAGTCGTATCCCAATCGTTTGCACCCTTATTTTTACTGCTATCTACTCCTGAAATCCATCTATTTCCAAGATCAATCTTAGACCCAAGATACTCTACCAAATTATTTTTAAATCAACTTTACATTTCGACAGTTTGGTACGCTGTGCAAGACTAAGACTAAATTACTATATTATGTTTTACTTTTGTTAAATTTTTGTTCCAAGAAGTTTGGTATATGGTGTATTTTTAAAATAAATGGTTACTAAACCATTTTTTGGCTTTTTTTTCCATACTAATATTGCAGCATGGCGCGAGTTGATTTTTCTCATGAATTTCTTTTCCCATTACATAGAGAAGCCACTATGTGGATTTTCCTTATCCAAAACGAAGAGGGAAAAAAAAGGCCATTTTCAAATTGAAATACGCCGGTACATTTTCCTCATGCACAAAATTGGTTTCAGGAGTTCAAAGGACTGAAAGAAGCCTAAACAAAATTTAACTATATTGAAACGAAAGATAACAATAATAAACTTCAATAAATGAGATGTACCCTGAGAGAGCCAGCTCCAGTAGGAGGAATCGACCGCGATGGAGGATTTGAGACGAGCAGAGGCGATGGCGCTATGGAGAGGCATCAACGACTCTACGCTTCCCAAAGACGCCAAAGCAATCGATCTGAACCGGGGGAAAAAAAACTAGTAATAAAATCAACGGAAAAAAAGGCTAAGACTTTTCGAGTAAAATAGGAGGGTTACTGTTAGCTTCATCTCACCTGAGGATGAGAGAAGACGTTCTCCTCGCATCCGTTGTCACTGATTTGGTAATTAGGGCTTTCGATTGATTCATGATCAATCTCGCCGCCGATGATCTAGCGAACGGCGTCGCCATGTTTTAGTGTTTTTTTATTTTTTTTAAACCCTACTTTTACAAACAAAAAAAAAACAGACCGGAAAGCAAACCCTTTAAACCCTAATTGGGCCTCAGTTAGGCGAACGAGCCTAATGTAGCCCATGGACCTCAGTAAGCTCAAAAGGTTGAAGTAAGAATTTTTAGATTGAAGTTCTCCGGGGCCCACATAAATAACCGCGAGCCTACTAAGGGGTCGGAGGAGAAGTTTGAATTTGACGAGGAGAGGCACGTGCTCCACTTGACTAGCGGGGCCCACAGCCGACCAAACCACCGGCCTACAACGACCAATCTCAACCCATCAAAACGAGGAAGATTTGGATTCACTCGCTGTATCAGAGTACGCGTGTGATGTTTATACCCCGTGCATTCACACGCAAACGCACAACCGTATACGAACACAAAAGTGAAGTTCCGTGCACAGACGTGGAAAACGCAATACATTTCCTATCAGATGTTGGAATCCCACTCCTGACCTTTCGGTACTGTTTGGCAAATGATTAAGTGAAGGATTAAGGAGACTTAACCCATTATTAACCCGTCAAACAAAAAAAAATCTATACAATGATTAAAGTAAATTAACCTTTCATAATTTGTCACACATAAAAAATATAGAAGGGTTAAACTAACCCCTCTAGATGGATTAAAATGAGTTAACCCCTCAAGATGAGAGGTTTAATAATACTCCTATTTAGAAGGATTAAGAGTTAATCCTTTTAATATAAAGAAAATAGTCAAAATCATTGTTATTCTCAAATACTAAAACTGATCACAAGGGCTAAAATAATACTTATTTAACGGGTTAATAATTTAGTCCTTCAAATTATCGAATGGACTAAGTACATTAATCCTTCTCTTTAACCCTTCTTCCTTAACCCTTTGGCAAACGGGACTTTCAAGCACAAGTAGATATACTATCAAAGCGCCCCGCACAGAGCACAGCGTTCTGGGCCAAGTGTGATGCCTAGGGGGATATTTTTGTAAATTTATGGCTCATGTGTGGTTCATAATTTCTCGCATAATATTTGCTTCTGATAGGAATGTTGCACTTCAAGCAGCGGATGAAATATACGGTATGCCCCATGTTTGTCAACCGAAAGGTGAAACCCTTCGGACCAGATGCGAGAGATTCTGATAAGATGTGGACTCTCTATTTATACTTGTTTATGTCTGAAAATTAATTTGTGAATGGGAGGATATCTAGAGGAGTTTAGAGTCCCTTAATCTTCTCTAATGACTAATAAGCTGTGGGAAGCATATCCCTTCACAAGTGGCAGCTGTTAGAGGCCCAAAGGAGATCCCCCCCGGCGCGCCCTCCGATACTCAGGCTAGTGATAGATAAAGCAATCTGAAGAGAGAATGCATGATTTAGTCTAGGGTTTTTATCTGAGATGCAAGCCTAGAGGGGGTGATCATCACATTTATTACATTTTTATACCCTAATTATAAATTTTATTTTGAATAAAATATCTACTAATAAATTATTTTTATCTTAATTTGCAGAATGGAAAATTAATGGATAAGAACCCAAAAGAACTCAAATGCCCTCATTTTTTTTAACTTTTTATTAAAAGTCAGAGATCAAGCCAAGAGAAGACCCACAAACCCCAAATAGATTAAGAAAAAATTGAGTTAACAAGTCAATAAAGAATTAAATTGTATTAGGAACCAATCGATTAACCCATTGATTGGCTAATCGATTGGCAAAGTGATTAGTTCATAACAGAATCAGTTAACGTCTGAGATTTATTTCTTAAAGCTCAAAGGTAGTTTAATAGCTCTTATTGATTGTAAGTAGACTATAAATAGGGATAAGGAGTGAGAGGTTAGGGTGTCAAAAATTTCGTAAAAAAAATTCATTTTAGAGAAGAGAGTTATTATTAATTGAGAAGACTTTCTAAAAATTATAAATTTTTTGTTTGCAATAAATAAAAAATTTTCTTTCTTTTAAATTTTCTTCTCTTTTCTTTGATGATGAAGATGAAGATGTGCCTTCAAGGGGCCAATCATTTGCAATGTAAGTTTTTATTTTTCTCTTTTATTCTCTTATTTTAGAATAATATGTTTTAGGATTTTATTTTCTTATTTTTATTTTATGTTTGGTAGATTAGATTTATTTTATCCTTGTAGTGTAATTTTTCTTTATGCTTTATGGAGTAGATTTATTTCTTGCTCTTTATTACTTTGATTTTCTATTTCTTTCTTTTATTGCTTGTAGTTTAGATTTATTTCTTGTTCTTTTATGGTTATCAGTGTAGATTTTATTTTCTTATTTATTTTGCAAAATGAGTAACAAATCTCTTTAGGAAATCTAGGATCATATGAAACTTATTTAATTTCTTTTATGAATTACAAATTGCTCGTTTTATTCTTAAAATGATCGTGCATAGGGTAAACAAATAGAGAACTAATTTGTAGAAAAATAGTTTGATAATCTATGCTTATCTTGAGTGGTTTGATAAGTTATGCTTATTCATTTTTAGGATTATTATCTAGTTACTTGTTCTTTTCATAAATGTAAATTTTTATTTGGATGATAATGTGATAGATTATATATTTTTAAGTAGTTTGATAATCTTAATAAATCTAAAGTAAAATATGATAAAATGAGAGTAGTTCATAAATTCTAATTGAAATTAACTATTGGATTTAATTCTAGAATCTTAACTTCTCTACTTGTTCTTCCACTAATCTTTCTTGATTTGATTTTCCTCTTCCTCTCTTGATTTCTCTCTTCTTGATTTTATTTTGTTGATTTTTCTCTTCTTTCTACTTCTTTTTCTTTTCTTGTTTCTACTTTTTGTTATTTTTCTATTTTATAGTGTTTCAGATAATAATCTTACGTCCACTTTTCCTTCTCATGAAGAGACTTCCACTCTATACAAAGAGTTCTCCTAAATTATAACCTGAATCAGTTGGCTTACAAAGACCATAACTTTGAATCTACTCAAAACCAATCGTCTAAAGTAACGATCCACAATGAATAATATCTAACCCTTGCTAGTAACAATCCTCTATTAACATCGGCCTCAGTATATTGTAAAAACAATTTTGAAACAAACCACCAAAAATAGATAAAACACAGATAAGAAAGATCTTATAGCCCTTTTCGATTAACAAACTATCCTTCGATCAATCAAAGTGAAGCTTGATGAAGAATGATCCAAAGATGATGAGCGCCACAAGAAAGAGTTTGTTGAGGCTCTGGAGGTTCAAACCTCCAATTCAATCTTCTTCAAATAACTTCTAGAATTTCTCTCTTCAAGCTCTCTTCGAAACCCTAAAAACCCTCTTCTTTAATTTATCTCTTTCAATCTTATATAGTCTCTAATTAATCAGGAAGGAGATATTCTAGTTATAGTAAAAGTTGTAGATGAAAGAGATCAATGAATGGATGTGATTAAATCATCAAATTTGCAATTAGCCACCTTAACAATTGATGAGTGCTCATGACCATCGATTGGTCCCTGAGCACCGTCGATGTGTTCCTATAATCCATCAACAGGTTGAATTCCTATTTCTAAAAATCTACAATTTATTACTTTAGACCATCGATAACTTCTAGCCAATCAATCTCAACCTGACGCCCATTCACGGTTCAATGGCTTAAATCAGCATTCGTTCTGATTTTCGCATTGTTTCGCCTGGTACACTTCATATACCTATTTTCACATGTATTATATCATCTCAAATAATTATTAGTGCTAAATGAGAGAGTTTGTTATTACTCAAATATGAGCTACTGTATAGACTATTCCTAACAAAAGGCATATCTTAGTATAGTGGAAATGGTCACTATGTGTAGAGGATTTGTGGGAGACACGTTGGTAATTTGACCTGACCAGCAAAGCATGCATTCTACCTCTACTTTACACGTGTCAGTGACCGGTTAGGTGGATACGAAGGGTTGCTCTCCTTGTATTGAATGAGATATTGACAGAATGGCTAAAGTGCGGGCAACGTGTGAGGAGTCACTATAATACCTAGCCATGTGTTTATTACAATGGCGACTGGCCAACGGAGCATGGGCACTGACTGGACATACATTTAATATGAACTGTGTTGACGAAACTGATAGGTCACTCCCTACTTTGAGATGTTCCCTAGTGGAGTCCAATTAAAAGGCATCTTTCATCTAGGACTTTGACCTTTTTGATGGATTCTAACTTGAAGACGCCTTTTAGACTTGGTCTTTTAGAAAGTTTGGGTTAGTTAGCAGGGTTGTGTTTATATCTGGGTTAGGCCTTTTGGTCAGAGGACTCGGCCCGTTAGTTTAACATGGGGCCAACTTTGAAGGACTTGTTAAACTTAGTGATTTTTAAGGTATAATGTTGGCCCCTTCTCACTCGAACTCGGGGAAACCGTCTCCGGGATTTGAATCAACCTATGGAAGAAAGCTGTGATTTGATGTGCTGACATTAGTGCTGATCATTCAACTAGTCTTCATGATTGGGGGACACTTCGATTGACGAGCATTGTCAGTGAATCTTAGAGATTTGAGATCGCCTCTCAGATTTGACCATGTGTCAGTCATCGATTGCCTATAAATACCCTCTCCTCCTCTTTTACTCAGTATACGCTCAATGAATTTCTAGCTAGAATTTTCTGCATTGTTGACTTTTTGAACCCCAATCATCTGTTCTGATAGGTTTCGGCTCGTGATCTTCTCTAGTTTGCAACGAGGGCCGGATTTTAGTACTCTGTTCATACAAATCTTTAGTGTTCAATGACCATCTCGTGGGATGGGCAAAAGCATATGATTTCCCTAGCTCTTTCATGTTGTCTATCCCTTCGTCTGACTGGACCATCTACCACCACATGGATGGCTTAGTGCCCATGTACTGATGGTTTTTTTAGTCACCTTCCTCATCATCTGTCACTAGGAGGAGGATGAGTTGATTCTAAGGATTCTGGGCCATCTACTATGCGCTAAGGTTGGCAGAGGTGAGAGGTATTTTTACCTCCAGTGGATCAGTGGTTTTTAGATGATCTCAAACATCCTCGGTACTAATAAAATGGAGGGAAAAGTTCTTCTTTATTATTGGCACTAACCCAATATTTCTGGC